AGATGAAGCTGTTGGTGGTTTCAATCTCCTCTCCATTCATCATGACACTGCCTATTGGTATCGATTTGTTCAAGGATTAGGTTGGTACCATTTCTTTGTTATTGTGAATAATCCTGGAATAAATATGATGTGCTATGTGTGCTGTGATTAATGTTATGGAACAAAATATGCATGAATGATTAAAACAACCTCAACTAAACACAATATGTTGTGTTTGCTTTCACTTAAATCATAATTTAAAAAGAGTAACATGCTTTAAAAAATGCTCTAAAAGGCAGTTTGACATTTTCTCAAAAAGCTAAACAGAGAATTCTGTATGACACAGCTGTTCCATTGCTAGGAATATACCCCAAGGGAAATAGAACTGAGACACAAATGGAGATTTTACACCAATGTTCATAGCTGTGTTATTCACAAAACAAGACCATGGATACAGTCCAAGTGTCCACCAACAAACAAATGGATTGAGCAATTCTGGTGCATTCACATGATGGAATACTATGCAGCATTCAAAAGCAATGATTTTCAAATAATACTATATAAAAGAATGTGGCAAGAAGCTGTGTTATAGTCCATAAGGCTCATTGTTTGAACCCACTATTTGCTCCAGGGAAGAAGAATGGGCAATCTCTTTCCATGTGATTAACTGACTCTAAAAACTTGTTGGTTCCAATTAGACAGTACACAATGACATATAACATAGTAGAGGCTAGAGATCATTATGCAAAGTGAACCAGCTCAGTCTCAAAAGGACAAAATTGCATACGGCCATTATTGTTAAAACAGAATAACTTGTAAGTAATGTATCTAAGTCCAAAGGGGGAAGTGGATGTGGCAGGGGGATTGAGGGTGGGGAATGGCAGAAATCACAGGGCCAGAGTTTGGTGGGTGGAGTGAGGATGTGAAGGAATTAGGAAAGATCCAGTGGGGACCTGAAATGATGGGATGATAATGGGCATAAGTAAATGGTGACTGGTTTTATAAAACCCAATCAGAATGATCCTATGAAACACACACAATGTCTACAAATTTTGTATGCAAACCAATATAAAAAACCCCAACAGATCCTTAAAAATTAATACAAAAGATGAAATGAGGAAAATAACATGGCATTATGATATTGTTATGTGCCATTGAATCACCTGTGACCGATAGAGACCCTATGTATAGCATCTCTGATCCCTGCCCTTGTCCTAAGCCAGTCTCACTAATTCTGACAGACCAACCCCCATTGGCCCAGCTACTGTATCAATCCATCTTAACCAAGGTCTTCATCTCCTGCACTATCACTCTACCCTTCCTAGCATGATGTTCTTCTCCAAGGGCCAGTTCCTCCTGGCCACCTGTCCAAAATATGTGAGATAGAGCTTCAAAATCCTAGCCTCCAAGGAGAAACTCGGTTCCATCCTCTCCAAGATAGACCTATTTGTTTTGTTGGTGGTCCATGGTATGTTCAAGACTCTTCTCTAGCACCACAATTTGAAGGCATTGATTCTTCTTCCATAATCTGTAGTCATTGTCCAGCTCTCTGATTCACAGCAAGTAATTGTGAAGACCATGGCCTGGATTAGGTGCACTTTAGTCTCTAGACTGACACTGTTGGCTTTTCAGTACTCTGGAGAGGTCGTCGACAGCAGATATTCCCAATGCAGTTTGTTTATTTATTTTCTGACTGCTGATTCTGAGAGTGTTGACTGTGGAGCCGAGCAAGCTGGGGTATTTTCAGACCATGGTTAATAGGGTACATGAGACCACTGAGAGTAAAACCACAGATACAAGTGGACTATCTCTTTTTGATGCTGCATACTGTCAGGTTAACTTTTGACTCATGTTAACCAACTTGACAGAGTAAAACTAACCAAAAGCTTGGCAACTTTAAATCTACCAGTCACTCCTGGCAAAAGATGTGATAGTTTGCTTCTAGAAATATTTGCAGCCTTGGAAACATTATGGGGCCGTTCTATTCTATCCTATAAGGCTATCAGGCGATGAGTCAGAATTGACTTGGTGGCAATTGGTTGGGTTTTTGGTTTATATGACAATCACCATGTTTTCTTTCTTAACAAGAATCTCCTCATTTTTGTGTCTTGGTTCACACTCCATTACTGTATTTTCTTTCTTAACAAAAATCTCATTATGCTTATTCTTTCTTAACAAAAATTTCATTATGCTTAACTTTTTGCACAAAAAAGTTATCACAGCTATTTGGCATTTTACAAATTTTCAGTGAGCATTGGCTAAGTATCAAGGATCAAGCCTTCATAGAGTCCTTGGATGGCACAAATGGATGAATCCTGGACTACTACCCAACAAGCTGGAATTCAAACCCATCTAGAGGCACTTACGAAGAAAGGCTTCTGGATCTACTTCTGAGAGGTCACCTTCTTGAAAATCCTGTGGAGAAGTTCTTTCTATTCCCCAACCAATATGTTGCCATAGTCAGAATCACCTTCATGACAACTAACATCATCAACACCACTTGGGACACCACGATGAACAAAACACACATGGTCCTGTCCTCATAGAATTAACTGTTTAATGGGGAGAAAGACTTCAAACAAATAGACACAATTAGAAGTACAATTCAGGAGCTCTAGTGGCCTAGTGGTAAGGAATTACACAGCCAATGCAAAAGGACAGTGGTTTGAATCCACCCACTGCTGAGTGGGAGAAAGATGGATAATCAACTCCTGTGTGATGTACTGCCCCTGAAAAGCCACTGGAGGGTGAGCTGTGGGATGGTTCCAATTCAATGGTACACAACAACAACAGATGCATAATTACAAATGGTGGTAAGTATTATTTAGGGAAAGAAAAACTGGAACCACTGAGAATAAAACAACAAATTCAGATTATGTGTCAGGGAAGATATACATAAGAGAATGACAATTAAGTAATTACATCTAGAGGTTTTCATATTTTAATACAAAGTAACTTACTCTCTACAATTTATACTCTGAGAAAAACTCTGGAAAACATTGTATTTTAAGCTTCACTTTTCCCTGTTCTGGCAGCCTTCCTCAGCAATATTTGTTATTGCTCTGAGGTGGAGGTTCACGCCTCCTAAATAAATCACTGCATATAAATACCTGCTGCTCTTTTTGGTAAATTATTTTCTGATAATCTCATAAGTGTTCCTCTACCTTTATTTTTTGTTTCCTTTAATACCAGACCACCTCTCCACACACTAATATCAAATATTACCACAAGCACTAGAATATCCCTTTTTTGACAGAACAAATTTTCTAGTTAATGTTTTATTTGACAGCTGTGCTACAAATAAAAAAAATCAAGCTCAAGACTCTGCACCACAGAATCTAAAATGTGGCCTGAAAATAATTCCCACTGCTGGGGAAGGTTTTATTGTTGCCTCTGCTGTTCTGGTTGTGCCCAGAAAACATGATTTATGTTTAAAGAATTTCCTGTTACAATTCGGTTACCCTCCCCACCCCCACACCAATCTAATAAAAGGAGGATTTTTTTTTTGCTTAAGTGCTAAAATATAATTGAATTCAACATTTGTGATAACTCTGCCATTACAGATTACTGGTGATGCAATTTTTTTCTATTGCTGTCTGTCAAACTTGGAAAATGTTTAATATTCAGAATGTCATAAACACAAACATTTATTTTAACTGAAGTTAATTGTAATAAAACTAGTATCAGAGTTTGTACACAGGACATTAAGAAAGATATTGGGAATCTAATATGAGATTCAGTTACAGCACTTCTGGAAAAAGGAAATACTTTTACTCTACAAGCTAAATCAGATCTGCTAAAATGAAGCATAAGCTATTCTTTTTGAAAATGTTTTACATATACATACAAACATACATTTTTAAAACCAACAAAGTAGACAGTTTTTGAAAACAGGAGAAGCAATGATATCTAGTATATTATGCTAATGTAACAACAGTATACATAGGAACATAGTGGTCCAAATTAATCAATCATTGGCAGGTAACACCTTCATATGATACTATAGATTTATTTCATCTTCTAAAATTATTTTAAAGAGAACTTTTGTAAAGTTTCCCAGTATGTTTCCCCATTTCATATAGCAAAAAATCACAAACATACTGGGTGGTTTTCCTATAAGGATACTACTTAATTGGGGTTTGGTTTTCTCCTTAAGAGAGGAATGCAAATGAATACATAGACATAAACTTTTATATGTTAATAAGAGCCCTTGTCACACACAAAATCAGTAGTTACCTACTTTTCTTCATGATGGTAGCGCTTTTACCAAGAACATGCAGAAGTGAGTGGAGACAAGAGGTCTACTCCCAAAAGATACATTTAATGAGTCTTTTCAGTTAAGGGAAGAAAAAGCTATTAAAAAAACAAAAAGGATAACCATAATACCCCACCATACATCACTTTGAAATTATTATCTCCCTCATCTGTTTCAGTGCAGTATTATGGTTATCACAGAGTCCACAATTGAGGTTGCACAGTGGAATGTACTTGGGGTGGTGGGAGGGGTGCAGGAGGATTGTGTACCAGGGAGGGAGTTTTTCTATTACTTTTCAAAGAGAGAAGCAAACTGGGGGTGGGGGGGTGGGGAGGGCTGGGCGGGGAGAGAAGTGCAGCAATGAATGAATGGAAATCCAAAATCTCTGTAAATGTTCATTAAAATTATTAAAAGAAATTAAAAAAAAAAACAAACAAAAAAGCAAAAAAATCCCCACCAAACCATAAAGGAGGAGGAGACTATACATCTATCTATCTGCATGTGACTCACTGTAAGATTACACTACACAAGCATATGTGAGATTTACATGCCAGGATGTCTTCAATGTAAGGCTTGAACTAAAAACTTGCTCTAGAAAACTGCCTTTAACATGATGAGAGTTCAATTTAACAGTGGATTGTACAGTAGATTACTATTTGGAAGTGGAAACAAATATCTTCTTTCTCTTATTTTATAAATGAGACGATCTTCTAAAACTCCTAATGCCTCTTGACTTTTGTTCACTGAGGAAGAAAATAATACTCACCTGTGTCTGTAGAATAGACTCGGAAACTCTTATCCCAGAAGCCACAGACCAGAATGTAACGGTTGTCTGAAGTGATGACAAAGCACTGGGAATGGACTTGAATGCTTTGGTCCAAAAGGTCGGTGATTTGCCTCCTGTGTGTTCCTGTATTGCTGGCTGTGAGAAGAGAAAGAGAAAGAAATAATAAACTACTACATCCACATGGAAAAAGAACACCTGACCTTTTATTCCAAGCTTAATAATCTTTTAGAGATTAAATAGGAAAATACATCCAATTGTTAAAGAATGTGAGTAGCTAAACTCAAAATATGTGATTTTTTTTTGCCTAGAGGAAAGAAATAATAACATATTACAATTTAAAAATAGTGTACCATTCACAGGACTTGCGTTCTAGCCCTTGGACAGGACCAAACTAGATTATAATCTCCAGATTGCATCACAGTCAGGTTTGTGTTTCTGACAATCTCATTACATCTATTGTCATGAGACTGGATTCATGTTGTGACAATCTATTACCTTTAACATTTTGTCACAGGAAGGCATATTAGAATTTAAATGTCATATTTGAAATACTGTAGCATCTTGTACTACTTTGGTTTTAATGGTTCTTTAATTTGAATAGATGTGAACTCCCATTTCCTCTGTTTACAGCTGCACTTGCATGTAAGTAAAGGGTAGGATGACTATTTATTAAAGATACTTGTAATTGGAAAAGTCAAACACGGCAAACTGCCACTTTCTTCCTCCTTATTTAAGCAATAAAACAAGACAGCCTGGTAAGTGTGTTTTCAAAATGCTGCAGAGTACCTAGGATGGGGTTTGTCAAGAGGCATGAGGTCAGACTGGAGTGACACTAAGGCACAGGGGAAGAGTAATAATCCTCTAGCAATATACTATCAAATATGCTGTTACAGAAGAGAAATTTCCACTGAGATGCCTGTTTTAGCATTATGAGGCCAATCAAGTAGAAAATTTTGTTTCTTGTGATCTAAGGGTTATTTTTTATTAAAGGACAAATTTATTTTTTTTAATACTTGAATATGAGTAATAAGAAAGAATTTCAGAGATTTAAAAAGTGGAGTGTATTCGGGGTGGGGGTGGGAAGGGATTGTATACCAATGAAGGAATTTCTCTTTTACTGTTCAGAAAGAGGAGCGAACTGGGGGGGAGGGGTGGGCAGAGAGAAAAATGCAACAATGAATGAATGGAAATCCAAAATTCTGTACATGTTCACTAAGGGTTATTTTACCACCGACTTTCCAATTCATATAATGGTTCTTTAGCTGCTAAAGTAATCTGATGTGAAACAAATGAAAACAAACAAAAGAAATGTCTGTATTTTATTATTAAGTTCTTTATATCTAGTCATCAGTTTTCTGAAAAGAAAACCATCATTTTAAAAAAACCCAACCTACAAATGCATTATTTTAAAAAAAAATCAAAGAGCCAAATAAATCTATCATATACATTGTATGTAGTTACTAAGATAATGTGGGTAAGCTGATCGAAGGGTCATAAAATAACACAGAAGAGGAAAGAAGTGTTTCGAATACTCTCCAGAACTGTGTTAGAATCTGCTGGGGATACTGAGAAATAGAACATTCCCTGCCCTGTACACACACACACACACACACACACACACACACACACACATCTGCAACAATCTTTCAGTATATGACATATGATTCAAATTCTCCAGCTGCTCCACAGGAGAAGATAGGTAATCTCCTCCTGTGTGATTTACTGCTTCTGAAAACCTGCTAGAGGGTCAGCAATGGTTTGGTTCCAACTTGATGATACACAAGAAGATTATTCTGTGACTTTGATAAAGTAGGCTTCCTAAGCTTTTGGAGATGTATTGGCTAGAAAGTAATGTCTGCTGTTGTTGTTAGATGCCATCAAGTTGACTACAACTCACAGGGACCCTAAGAACAAAAGTTGTGAACCTGGCCCTATCCTGTCCTATCTTGAGGCCTCTGATGTGTCCGAGCCCACTGTTACAGTCACTGTGTCACTCCATCTTGCTGGGGCCTTCCTCTTTCTTTGGTCCTCCAACCTTTCCCAGTATGATGCACTTTTCTCAAGGACTGGCTCCTGACATCATGTCTAAAGTAATTACGAAAAGTTTCACCATACTTTCTTGTATGGATGACCTTCTTAAAAATTACAGCAGTGATAAAAAGGGCAGACTTCTAGATCAGGATAATTTTTCCTTCTTCTAGCAGATGAGAAAGCTTCTAAGAGCGAGAGATTACTTAGTATCCCAGAGCAGTGAACCATAATAAATATGTATGTATATATGCAGACCTTAAAGATAGAGGAAATAGATTTAAATATTTTTACTTAATGCCAAGAAACCTAGTAGCAGTTAAAAACAAAATATGTGTTATTTTCTATTCTGTTATGGCAATACACATGAGAACAGTAAAAATAGCAGACTTTTGCTCCTTTGATAAACACTTTCATTGGTTATTTTCTTGAGAATTCTCTTGGGAAGAGCTACCTTGACATATTTGGACATGTGCATGATTTAAAAAACGCTTAAATTACAAAGTCTTCATGGGTGAAGGGTGATGTTTCTTAAGCATTCAGATGAATATTTTCCAAGTAAATGTTTACTTGAAATTTAACACTCAATCCCCTTAAAATAACAACAAAAAAACTACTAACTACTATTCCATTATCTCATTTTTTTCCTCTGGTAGACCACTTGAGATTTAATACTGTAAGGATTTTTATTCAATGAAAATTAGGTATATTTGTCTAGATAAGCAGTTTTCAAACTAGAGCATGCATACCCCTGGGGGTACAAGATGTCCCCAGGGATACACAGGCACAGATGGTTTTAAAAGAATCAATTTCTAGTCTCTCTACTTTCATATGTTCTCTTGCCTAAAATTGATTTGCCTGAGAACTCTCCTGTGAGTTTTCCTATCCTCTTCTCCCTTTCATACGCCTTTTTCCATGAGATAAAATAAAGGCATATTTCCCTCTCATCCAGAATCTTACTGTGGTGCTTTGCCTCAATATAAAAATCTGTTGGGAGTCAAACAGAGGAACAATTCAAAATACTGATGGGATCCTGACGATGCCAGTGCTAAGGTATCAAATCATGGTGCAGGGGAGTGCTTTCTAATTCATTATTTCGGATAAAATTAAAGAAGGATCTAATCATGCTGTCAATACACAGATCATTAAAAATAAGGTCCAACTATAGATTGTTAAAATGAGAGCTAATTTAATGATAGACCATAAATTTAAATAATAGATTGCTATGCAAACGGTGTAAAAAAACATAGAAATAAAAGATTTTTGTGATATTTTTAAAACAAAACTCTTTACTTTACAATTACTTGCTTGTGTGAGCAAGTTTCCAGAACTTCTACCTATACAAAAACAAAAGAAACAGGACTCACTAAGCAAAAAAATACTATTCATCCATGAATATATGCACTGAGGGGCAGGAAGCCTCATCCATTTCATTAAAGATATATTGCTCATAAATACTTATTTTTATGTTTAATATTAAAATTTATAATGTTTGCATAAGTAAGTATCAATATTTGTAATGCTGACTCATTTAATATGACATTTTTAACAGTTGAGTCTCATGGCCATGCAAAATTTTGAAATTTAAATTTATATACATATGTTTAATTTTCTCTATGTTATTATTACAGAAAAATATATTAAAGCAATCATTGCAAAACATTAAGATAAAATTATTCAAGGGAAACAGAATGAACATACAAATTCAAGATGAAATAAGAAGGGTTACAAGGGATGAAAAGGGAGGAGGAGAGGAGTAAAAATTAACAAAGAGGCAAGTTGGGTGAAGGAGAAGGCCGTGCAAAAGAAGAGGTTGATTAGACATTGTAATGAATGAGATACAGTAATCAGTTGTAATCAATGTTAAAAAATGAGTGTGAATGATTATATGAAAAGCCAACATTGTGAACATTTAATCAAATGAGAAATATATAGAACATAAGGTTTAAAAGTAAGGGGGAAACATTATGAAAGAGGAATGAATAATGCAGTATTTCCTGCTTTTTAGGGCTTTTAAATTCATTTTTACAGAACAAAATGTTGAGTGGCACAGACATACAACAGCAATCCAGTTGTTGTTGTTGTTGTTGTTATGTGCCGTCGAGTCGTTTGCAACTCATAGCGACCCTACGTACAACAGCCCTAAACCCTGCTCTATCCTGCGCCAACCGCACTGCCTCTGAAACACCTATCCCGATCACCCCAGTCACTGAATCAATCCACCTCATAGAGGGTCTTCCCGTCCTGTGCTGTCCCTCCACCCTCCCAAGCATGATGTCCTTCTCCAAGGACCTGTCTCTCCTTACAACATGTCCAAAGTATGTCAGACGAAGCCCCAGAATCCTTGCCTCCAAGGAGTAGCCTGGTTTAACCCTCTCCAGGATGAATCTGTTTGTTTTCTTGGCAGTCCAAGGTACATTCAATACTCTTCTCCAGCAACACAGCTCAAAGGCATCATCAATTCTCCTTCTATCCTCCCTAGTCATTGTCCAACTCTCTGATGCATAACAAGTGATTGCAAAGACCATGGCCTGTATCAGGCGCATCTTAGTCTCCAGAGAGACACTGTTGCTCTTGAGTACTTTAGAGAGGTCCCGAACAGCAGACTTTCCTATTGCAGTATGTTTTTTGATTTCCTGGCTGCTGGTGCCAAGAGTGTTGACCATGGAGCTGAGCAAACTGAAACTGTGAACAATCTCAATCTCTTCGCCATCCATCCTGATGCTACCAATTGGTCCAGTGGTGAGAATCTTTGTCTTCTTGACATTAAGCCTCAATCCATATTGTAGGCTGCAGTCCTTGACCCTCGTAGATCAATCCAGTAGTTAAGTTTAATTCACTCAAAAATAGTCAAGTTCTACTGGATACTTTAAAGTGTCAATGTTCCCATGATACTAGAATTTGTTAACATCTATTTAAATGCACCTATTTAACAATGTGATAAAAATTTTAGGTGTTAACTTTAAAATGTGTGAGAAGGTACATTTTAGAGCGTATGTTGTTAGTAAGGTTTCTCAAAAGAACGAATGAATGAAAGACTGGTTGTTTTTAGATGTGAAGTGATGACAACTTGGAATGGAATTATACACAGCCAAATTTTAGAAATA